GAAATCATTGGTATTCTACAGCTAGGTAAAATACGCGTGGGATAGGGCCTACGTTCCGTGGAAATTCTGTCGCTTACCTCGGTGGCTATGGTGGACTCAGGCGGGTTGCCCGGGTAGGTGGCGTATTGCCAGCCGTCCGTGCAGGCTTCTACGCTACTGCTACCGTTCACATACATGTTGCACGAGTCCACCACGTTGTGGCCCTTCACAACTTTTATCGGAATGCTCTCGTTCAACGGCAGTGCTAAGCGGTCCGCACCGATCTAACGGGGAAAATATCTTTAATGTATGCGGTCAACATTCGATTAATTGACATCCCGAAATAACCGACGTTTGACTGTGAAATCTCTGCACATTTTCTGTATATACAAGGAAGGCACTTTAATTGGGTTTCGTCCATCCAAGTGACAGTTATGCTGTGTAATCACGTCCGTATAACTGACATTTACATATGACGGACAATTTTAGGGTTTCCCTTGAATGACTTATATAAATGTTTGGCACTATATTATTAGGTGATTTGCCGCCGGCTTGATTGTCTTTCCGACCTTTGCTGTTTTCCATTATTCATCACTTAGTGTACAACACTGATTACCATTCCTACTATTCCAACAGTAATAACTATTCCTGTAGTCGCCATGCGTTCGTCTGTTCCGCCACCATCAACCCCCCGCCATCCTTTTAAATTCCAATGTCCTCTCCTCAATTTGTCTCCGCCTTACTCTCTCACTCTACGTTACAATTGCTCGTCCTCGTTTTTAACTTTCGTATTTTGTTCTTATTCTATTATCACTTCTTAGCTTATACCTGTTGAATAACATTACGCTGTACGCACGTTAGCCTAAAACCAGTTTCCAATACAGAGTCGCCTCGTAGGCCATGATTTGTGTGTGTGTGTGTGTGTGTACGCGTAATCTCACAGCAGCAAATCGGTAAAAACAGCACGAACTATTCACATACGTACTGCGTCACATAACTGCGTCACATAACTGCGTCACATAACTGCGTCACATAACTGCGTCACATAACTGCGTCACATAACTGCGTCACATAACTGCGTCACATAACTGCGTCACATAACTGCGTCACATAACGGCGTCACATAACTGCGTCACATAACTGCGTCACATAACGCCTTCTCATCACATTTCAAAATGAGTTGTAGCGCATCAAGCACATCAAGACAAACACATCAGACAATCATCAGACAAGCACATCTTACGTGTTAGTACGGTAATAAACCCATCCGACCCCAGCAATAAATATCACATTTCAGGGCCGCGGGCTGAGCAAATTCCTAGAAGGCGGCAAAATTTCATGACTCAACTGTGTAATGCCTAATGGTGAGTGACGGGCGCAGCTCTTTATCGACGTTCATAGCGTGGCAGGAGTCGATCTGAGACAAGGCTTTCACGGATAAGTGACCAAAAAATCACGTTAGGGTTAGGGTTATTTTTTTAGGCGATTATTCGCTAAGCTTATTTTTTTAATTTTGTTCCAAAATCTAAGGGTGGCAGCTGCCCCCTTGCCCCCACAGGCTACGACCCTGCATTTACGCCATGAATCCATACACTACCTTACAATGATGCGTTGGAATCGCGCCGAAGAATACCATACCGAGATGGTTAAAAGCGACGGGCATGTAGTTAAGACACAGTAGAACGTAGATGCCTATCTGGTATCTTCCCGGATCACCGATGGCGCCCATTAAGTCTTCCAGTTTCACCTGCGCTCCTCTTGTGGGCTTCATAGTTACAGCTACTGACGACACTATGTACGAATTTCGCTGGATGTCAGAGACGGAAGGCAAAAGATGTTCATGGCAAGCGCACGCGGTATATGACGCACTGTTGCTTCTCTTGCAGGCGCTTCGTGCCTATAGTCGTCATAAATAGTAATTCTCTTCTACATGCATGGCACTTGCGTTACGGATGACGGCGGCCGGTCACGGCCCGTGGGCAGAAGTGAAGTGACAGACGCGCACTCAGTCTCTGTTGTTTTCGTTGGCGCGTGTATTACTGTAGATTGTAGAACACCTCTGTATGTGCCAGTGCCGTCTGCAATCGCCTACGCTTATTTCTCACCGTATCTTATTCTTATTGAAAAGTAAAACAGCCATATATACTAAACTATAATATAATAGTATACGATATGAATCTAACGCAGGAGAATAATAGGGAATCTCCTATAATCATAATCATATATAATAGGAGTAGATAATCGATAACTCTATATCTAACTGCCTGAATATAAGGTAACGTCACACCCCACACCCGTGAATATTCATACTTGACTTGTTTTAATATCCTAAGTACCGGACCACGACCGGATCGCGTGAACGCAGCTAATACATATTATATAATATACTCTATATATAATAATAATCATATAATATAAAAAATAATAATACTCACTAATAAATATACATAATAATACAATAAAATAATAATAATAATAATAATAATAATAATCTCATACTATAACTTAATAACATTATATACATCAACATACACATTATATACTATTTATAATATAGCATAAGGAACGATTCCCTAATACATCGCGTTATGAAAGTAATTATGGTAGGGCCGGAATTTTGCAGCGCATAATGCAATGTATAACAGCAAGTCTAAGCCATCAACCCCCGTAGTTACATCGCAGTTGCGTAACGTTGACAAGGATAATCACACGGACAAACATATAATACTAAAAACCACAAAAAACCCACTAAACCCTAATTTACCCCCTAGTTGTAACGTATATGTTGTATATAGTCAGGAGGCCTTATGCACATTTATCTGCAAATTATGAAAGACATTTTCTGGTATCAATCTGGTTCATATGTCCTCACTAAGAATTTTTTGGGAGCCCCCAAAAATTGAACCCCGGAAACACGCCCCCCCCCCTACTAGGGCCCGTAAGGGACCCGAAACTGTTCTTTGCCATACCTTGCCCTTCTTGTCGATTTGAAAACAAAAGAAGAGGAAAAAAAACCCAACAACAAAAAAAGAAAAATAAACAAAACAAAGTTAGATTCGATTTGGGGTTTATACAACATCAAGGAAATGATCTGGCATAGTTTGGAACCGAATTCGTCATAGGTCCCGAGATCTCGTTCTCGGGTCACCTTCGCGAGCCAAAATGTTTCACATATCTCAGCTATTCTCAAAAGTTTATTGGGTTTGAGGTCAATGGATTTATTAGATACACATGATACCACATCAGACCCTGGAACCATTTGGTTTCACCTGGTAGTATACACGTCAGTCACAAATCTGCCAGACGCGACAGTCCGCACACGCCTCGTCAGTTGTTACATACACCAGAGCCCACCACGACTGCAATACACGCTGTACAGCTTCCAATTCGTGATTTGTGCCGCGTTCCTGGGCAGAGTGCAGAAAGAAAGGCACATGAACTTTTATTAGCGCATTTGCATGACTGGCACCTGATCACGATCCGATGCAGGTTTGTCCTGCTGCGTTCCGTGCATTGACTGTGACGTTGGTTCTGATAGCGGTCCTCCACACATCTCAAGAGACAGGGCTGGCGATCTGAGTGAGGGTCCCCCACAACCGCATCCTGCTGCTCAGCGCTGCGACGCTACCGCCAGTCTGAGAACCAATAAAGTGGAGTCCCTTAACTCATCCGAACCTGAAGCCTGACCCGTGAGAACCGCAGTTCTATTGAGATTTGGTAGCACAGCCCCTTTGCGTATACATAGCACACAAATCCCACAAGTATCTTTTCTGTGCTGAGGAATCACTTCTGCGCTGGTACGCAGGCGTATTGTTTAAGCCGTCTCGTCACTTCATGCCCTCATCGAGCACTTATTCCATTTGAGAAAACCACATCTCTCTTGGTCAGCTTAGAACGATCATTAGACTCGGCCGCCCAGTAACAGCATGGAAAATGGCAAGGCTAACAGACGTCCTCCCTAATGACTCATAACAAACTCGACATGATTCTTCTTGTCTTTCCAGAGTTAAAATCAACCATGACGCCAAAATCAGGGTCCGTCTTGAGGAACTGCATAAAGCGAGAAGACTGACACTGACCCTGAATCAACTGTCCCGTACAGTCCAATCGGCGATAAACCACATGCCACATGTCATATACTGGCACACGCAATCCCGTTGTCCGCCTCTTCTATGTTTGCCACTTTGCCGGTATATAGTCCCTTCACAGCATTTTTGTTGGCCACAGTTTCCACAGCACCATTAAGTGACACAGAAATCTCTTCTCCAGGACCAGGAGGAATGGGTTACCACCGCTTTCCCCAATTCGCTGGGCATTAAGTCTGGTCTTCGTTCTGATCATCTGTGAGAAAGGATTTGAAACATATCGCTTCGGACCGTCTATCCACCAGTGATACAGTTCCCTTGCTGTCCTGAATCTTTGAACTTCCTTTCCGAGCGGGTGGGCCTCTTGATGCTTCAACTGGTTCATACTGGTCCGCTACAATATCGATTCGAATGCGCCCAGCGTGGCAGTGTCTCCCATGCTCTGGTCAGGGCCCTGGGAACAAATTATAAGGTTTGACCCGTCTGAAGGACTTCAGCCTGCCCTCGAGACACAACCGGTCAACAACGAGAACCTTTGACATTGTGACTTTGGTGTAACCGCGTTGTCCGTGCCTTGTCAGCCAAAATCATGTGACTTGAACTGTGATATGGCGAGATCCACTCCTCTTTTTGAGAAGCACCAGGTAATCCGCTATCCCCCCTCAAAAATTCTTTGTCTCCGATTCACGGTTGCAACGCACCTCTCCATTTGTCGTGAACAGTTGCTGGGTGACCCTGACGAGGGTTTAAAATCCCGACCATCATCGCCTGCCCTGGACAGCTTTAGCATGTTCTGTTACCGTTTTGATTTGCCACTACATCATCTTCCCACTCACACGACCACTCTAGTCGGCACCCTCGCTCCATACGTTGCACCTCCCAATTCGCGTGACCACCTTTCCTCTGCGCATCATCGCCACCAATCGACGCTCTGCGACGATCTCCCGACGCCTCAGTCCTTCCAACCACCTCCGCGAAACTGCGCTCTCGACTACACCTTTCCTGGAATCTTTCCGCCCCGCTCCCTGCATCCTGCCCTTCGCGCTCGAAAAACGGGGTGATCTCCCTGGACCTTGAGGCTAAATGTAGCCCCCCTCTATTGCCGACAACACTGGTGACTTTCTGCAGCCGAAGTTTCACGGGCTTACGAATCTTCTTTGTCCTCGCGAATTTACGAGATCCATGTACCCCGCGCGTTGAATTAGTTTCTCTGTTGTTGCTGTTCTTGTGCTGCAGGCTATCTAGAGAAGCTTCGCGCTTCATGCATTTCTGGGGTAAACCACCCCTCACTCCGCTCTCTCAGCCCTCTCCTGCCCAGTTGCTGCACACCTTACCTCAGAACCCACTCCACCTCCGCACCACCCGACCCACGCAAGACACCCTGCGCGCCTCGGCGGCCTTGTCGCTGCCGCACCCCCACGTGCCGGTCATCCCGCGCACCTAGCTACCCACGCCCCAATGTCATGTGCCTTTCTTTCTGCCCCTGCAGGAAGTGCCCACATCTCTAATTAAGCATGTACCAGAGAATCAGTCAGTGGGGCTGTGTAGTAACAAGTAACCGAGCACGGATTTGCGGAACTGTAGTTGTCACATTGGACTACGTGACTACTGACCAGGTGAAACCGCAGATATTTCTTCAGAGTCTTGCAAAGTTACAAGTGAATCTAATAAATCCATTGACCTCAAAACGCCCACAAATTACAATTTTGAGAAAATAGCCCGATATATGTGAAAACCATTTCGGGCTCGCGAGGAACGCCGAAGAACGATATCTCGTACCCTATGACCCCAATTAGTTTCACAACCACGCCCCAATCGATCCTTGATGCCTTTCACAACCCCCAACTCCGACTCCCTAACACTTGCCTCAAATCGCGACCAAAAGGCAAATACTATCGCGCCAATCAAGTTCGGGTCCTTACCCCCCGCGCCTGTGCGGCGGGCGGCCGGCCTTCCCGGCTCACACCTCTTCTGGGCTCCTTAAAAAAATTCTAGTTAGCGCGAACATATGACACCCAATTGACGCCTTAACAATTCCTCTCTCACCCTCTCGGCCTCTATTACGTGCATAAGCCTCCTGACTAGTATGACGTGTAGCCGTGCCATTATACGCCCCCTCATTGCACCACATGTCCGGGTGTAACGTCAATCTGGTTTAAGCGCGCGCAATGTCAATGAAAATGTCTAAAACCTACAAGCGACGATATCTCTCCTTATCCGCCTTACGCACTTGCACTGCTCGTCTATGTACGGTCTCTCGAAGCACTTACCGCTGCAACAGCTTGGTAAACAACCGACACTGAAGGTAACCTGACGCGTTGAAGGTCGAACCATCGTAGCAAGATACACAGCATGCATGCACAGACACGCGTGCGCGCGCACGCATAAACACGATCACGCATACACGCACGCACGCGCCCGCACACGCACCAACCGGCAGATCCGACACCACATTGAAGACAAAGCTAGGCACTTGCACGATTAAGTGAAATTCGGAAGTTTTGGCACGTTATAATGATAAAAGTGAAGGATTTAGGTGGACAATTCTCACATCAAACTACTCCTGCACTACCGCGCGCACACATACCCCACACACTACCGCAGGCACACACGCTCCCACACGCACACACACACGCACGCACGCACGCAGGCACACACGCACACACACACACACACACACACACACACACACACACACACACTACCGCACGCACACACACTACCGCACGCACACACACTACCGCACGCACACACACTACCGCACGCACATGCACACACTACCGCACGCACACACGCTAACGCACGCGCGCACATATATACTGACCTACAGATAAGACACTATAACACGACGCTGAACATTAGGGCCTACCACGATGCAGTGAAATTCTGAAGATTTGGCACTTTATCATAATAAAAGTGAAAATTGTATAATAGCAAATGTCCGAGTGTTATTCTGTACATTTCGTTTGACAGCATTTTTACTACTTTTTGTCCACGACACTCGCGCCGACCAACTAAGTGTCGTGGGGATTTGGAATGTTGAAGAGGTTTGGCTCCTAATTAGTATTAAATGAAGCATTGGGATCAAAATTGTACAGATCACAGTTCTCGGATGAATATCCTCTCTATTTTACATAATTATGTAATTTTATAAAATATGATCACCCATAGCGGTTACTATGCATGCGCGCAGACATATCGGATCTTATAAGCTACAAGGATTAAATGTTTATAACGTTAATAAGATCAGATTATAAAGGTGGTTTATAAGGTTTAGGAGAGTCAGTAGACTCAGTACGCCTTGGCGTTTGGTCATGATTAACGTGAGCAACTGGCATTGAGATCGTTCACATAATAACTGTTCAAGATAATTATGTGCTCTCTACTTTAAAAAAAACATATATAGGTTCTCGCACGCATACACACGCATGTACACGCAGGTACACGCACGTACACGCAGATACACGCACGTACACGCGGGTACACGCACGTACACGCGGGTACACGCACGTACACGCGGGTACACGCACGTGCACGCGAGTACACGCACGTGCACGCGGGTACACGCAGATACACGTACGTACACGCAGGTACACGTATCGAGGGATCGAGCCATGTGTAACTAACTAGATTCTTTTCAGCTCGAAAAATAATTATTATAAATGGCGTGTTCCACTATAGTCGTGTTCGTCTGGCTGTCGTGGCTTTCAAAGCTATAGCTGGCTAGCCTGCATATTATGTTAGCTGGTACCAGTATGAGTCTGGGCCTAGTTTATTAATATTTCGAGTTCGGTACGAATGCGAGATTATAACGTATGAATTATAAGGTCAAGTTATAATTACAAGGTATTCTTGGTATCCGCAAGTCTACTCTTGGCCACCGTCTTGCATTTTAAGGCAAATATTCTGGTCATAAATATTTATCCAACCATGGAATGGGTACCTCTGGGTACCTCTTAAACTATTATTATTAACTTTCGCGTAAACAGACGAAATACGGGTCAGAATACGTACGGGTGGTAATAGGAAGGGTGGCAGACAATATGCACCCAACTCCGGCCACTGTAAGGTAAACGCACAGAGGCCACTTCCTTCCAAACCTAAAGAATGAGGTAAACAAAACATTATTCAGAGCATTTACGTACGATATACACCCTGCGAAAGATGAATAGCAAACACGCAATGACGTTGTTATATACAAATCGATCCGCGCATAATACGTAATAACCTTAATTGTTATATCGTTGTGTAACGATCAGCAATCCGAAGACCAAAATAGTCACACTCAGATTACTGGACTTACGTGGGGCGCACACAAAAAACAGCGCGAGATTATATCACTTCATGCACACGCCATGTAAACGAAAGACAATAGCCTGGAGGCTACCGTCGCAGATCGCAGATGACATTTAGATGACTCGCTACCGGTACCTGGACCTTGCCACTCCGACCTCACGGAGTTACGCGCACGATTTAGAACGAATTATTTTCTAGCGGCCAAGCGTGACTATACCTGCCATCGCACGTTTGTGCGGTACGCATTTTACCTGGCGCTGACAGCGTGAAGGTTGGGCGAACTTTTCCCCCTCGAAATTGACTAACACACACACGCACATACGCACACACACACACATACACGCACGCACACACACACACACACACACACACACACACACACACACACACACACACACACACACACACACACAGTTTACCCAACAACACACACACAAACACACACACACACACACACACACACACACACACACACACACACACACACACACACACACACACACACACACACACACACACACACACACACACACACACACACACACACACACACACACACACACACACACACACACACTAGATAACCTATATATATAGTATAATATAGTATCAATTTGTTTAGATCAAACTGATGATAAATACATTACTACGAGGATGCAGAACCGCTATTACATGGTTTCTACTTTTAAATTCATCAGCTTGAAACTGTTTCCATTCTGTCATCAAACTTTCCACATTTGCTTTTGTGAACTCGATCAGCTTTTCCTAAAAATAACGACATGAAGTTTATGCTTGTACTTACACCCACAAACAATAATGATCCTCCAGTACCAACTGGTATGAACATATATTTGTACAGTCCTATTCTCCAGAAATACAAAGTGCTACTGGTAGTGGTAATAACTGCAGTAAAGGACGACTTGGAGCTAACTGAATTGTTTTTAATTCGGTGAATGTTTGCTGTATTTTGAGTTAGATCTAAACAGCAGCCATACATTGAAAGACAGTGAAAAACATTTTTTATTGATATTAGTCTTGCAAGCCCGGTCAAACTAATTTTGAAGTAGACTTTTGCATGTTTTCATAACAATAACATACAACAATTCATGTCGATGATGATAGCCCTGATGCAAATACACTTTAGGACTTGTTGCAATCAATGGGATTGTGACAGCATGTCAACCAAACAGAAACAACTAACAAGCAAGGTCACATAGTTTATATAATGATTACTTCCCAAAATGATTATATTTATTATTTAGAGCTATGAGCCTATAAGGCACGTGAAGATGGTCAAATACAAAAAATTCAAAAATATATCGACCTACTTCTGCCACTCAAGTCACGGCAGACAATCGCTGCTTCGTGATCTAGGCCTAGATTCACTGCCAGAGAAACTGCACAGGTTAGCCCACAGGCACTTGAAGTGTTTCAATAAAATATATACGGGTCGTGTGCTGTGCACGGCGACAGTTAAATATATATATATATTTAATATATATTAAATATATATATATATAAATAAAATATATATTTAACTGTCGCCGTGCACAGCACACGACCCCTGCGTATATTATTGAAACGCTTCAAGTGCCTGTGGGGTAGCCTTTGGTTTAGAAGTTCAACTTTTCAAAATTATATATATACATTTGTTCGTATATATAATTATTATAAATAATATCACATATACATGTAGAGATGTATAAACACCCTAGACTATGTATATTTGATACGTGACTAGTGAAATTCGAACTTCTTTGCCTCCAATGTTGAAACGTCTTCCGGATGCCACAAGTGCGACCAACGGCGACGCCTACGCCTACGGCTACGGTGCGTGGTCAGTCCAAGCCAAGGTTAGTTCTGGTTGATTTCCGTAATTACACTAGTGAAATTCGAACTTCTTTGCCTGCAATGTTGAAACGTCTTCCGGATGCCACAAGTGCGACCAACGGCGACGCCTACGCCTACGGCTACCTATGGTGCGTGGTCAGTCCAAGCCAAGGTTAGTTCTAGTTGCATGATTTCCGTACTTACACTTACAGCATCTTTTAGCAGTTTCTCTCGCTTTCGTGGTAATTTGATTTCACCGTGGGAATTATGTGGTGGCTTGGACCTAGCTTCTCTCTGCGTTGTAGCAACTGCAATCGGCCCATCACTTTTTTCCATTTCAGTCTCGTCCTAGATGTTGGAGCATAGGTTGGAGAGTGTGGTTTGGCGGCGACTACAAATTGCGGATTATGCGGATCCATAGCGGATCGAAATAAGGAGCGACACGTACTAGCGCCTCTGCGGAGTTAGAGGAAAAATACGCGGGAGACCCAGTACGCTGTGTCAATGTGTGTTCCTACCACTGATCTTTATAATAAAATTTTATTATACTATAGAGACGAGTGGTTCCTACGCCTGTGTGTAACACGCCGGCCATCTACTCCGTCAAATTACTATCGTACGTTTCTATCAAACACCATTTTTGATTCACCTTTCGTATTTATTCCCTTCTCTATCTGCCTACCTTTGCGTGTGTCTGTCTGTATATCACTATCTATCTATCTATCTATCTATCTATCTATCTATCTATCTATCTTGAAATCACTCGCAGTAGTTGATTTCGTAACGAAATCACTTTGTAAACTTGATTTCGTTACAAAATCAAAAACTTGGACTGATTTTGTTACAAAATCATTGATTTCGTAACATAATAAGTCATGCTACACTTGGCGCCCCATTTCGGCAGTACCCTGGGGGACATAGACCCTATGAGCCCAACTGGGATGTTACCCGTCGAACAAGGGTTATCCATATAGTCAGGGGCGGACTGGCCCCTCGGGCAAATCGGGCAATGCCCGAGGGCCCAGAGGGCCAAGGGGGGCCTCGAACAAAATATTTTTAAAATATTTTAATATTTTAATTTTTCAGTTTTTCTTCTTCATCAATCGGTCTGGAAAATATTGTGCCCCAAATCAGAGGACTTTTTCCAATCCATAAGGGGGTGAGGGTTCCACCACTTTTTCAAAGTTGTTATAGACCGGTAGCAAGCGACTAGTTTTACGCGACCGGACGTAAAAAAGTTTGACATGTTATGAGAGGTGACTGGTCGAAAACAGCGGATTTATGTCACGTGATAGCAGCGCATAGATGGGTTACTAGTTTCTTCGTCAATGGAAAGTAAATAAAGTAAAGAGATAAGGAACGCATCTATGGGAAAGGAGCCAATATGTCAGCCTCCATGGCCTCATGTTTTGAATATATTCTTAAATTTGGTCAATATTGGGATAAACACGTACGCGCTGGTTTTAATGTGGGCAGTTTGTCCGTTAGTAATTCGCCATTACCATATGATATTAAGTGTCTGCGTAGGAATTGATCGCATAACTAGTAGGCTAGCTAGTACCGCGCGTATTATTTGCGTATGACTATGAGTATGACTATGAGTATGAGCGAATTCTGTTTTTATCCTCCAATCACAGGTGGGAGCAATTCCTCTGTTTAGACGCATGTCAGCCAACTACCTCAAAGTATTGAGCCGACGATTGGCGTCGTCTTCCGTATCACTGAGAAAAGGAACGTCCATGTGCCAGACCACAAATGGTTGGTATACGCAGTTGCCAGACCACTGCCGGAACGTACCTGGTACCCTAGCTGGTACTAAATACTATCTAATATGCCGGACCTTACCTCGCCTACTCCATTAACGAGTTTATAGGGAGTCGCCTATGCCTACTTCCTAACCATAACCCTAACCCTAACCCTAACCATATCAGCTAGATAGTTACCAGGGTACGTTCCGGTATTACCGGACCGTACCCAGGGTACGTTCCGGCAGTACCCTGGGGGACATAGACTATGAGCGTAACTATATATATTACTAGTCTTAGTCTAGGATTGAGTACTCACTTTGCATCACATTACACATATAATATATTAGTCCGAGATTCCTCTGACCAATGCCCACACCAGGCCTCGAATTAAGTGACGAGAGGGGCAAGGCAATTTTTTGGGGGCATGTGAGAAATTGCCTTGAATTTTCTCTAAAATGGATGGGCACCGAGGCAATTTTAAAAGGCATCAAGGCAACTCTCACAATTTGAGAAGGGCACCAAGGCACTTTTGTTTTTTACCGTACACAGACCGTCTGCCGCCCACATGT